TAACTCTGAGATGCAGGTATATCCAGCTGACAAACCTCGAATAGGACGGAATACCCATCCTGGATTACACTGTTAGCCACTATTCATTTTTGCTTATAATGTTTCGAATTATGTTTGATCTATTACATAGATTTAAACTCTACACCTATCTTATCAAACAACAATCCGTCACATACTATGGTATTTTTTTAAATTATCATCCTATTTGTCCGAATCCAGTTCTATTTAGCTGACAAGCTTGGACTAGGACAAAATATACATCTTGAATCCAACTTGACTCAGTCTTTCAACTTAATGACCAGGTCTTTATCTAGACTTTGTGCTAGTTAACACTTTTCACTGTAACATTCCAAAAAGATCAATACTTTAAGCCAAAAACATAATACAAGTTATCCTTCACCGATTATTATATGTTTGATGAAAGCAGAAGTATCGTATCGATCTATTTTGTGCAGTAAATACTTTTTTTACGAAATTCATTTACTTTCTTACATGATTTTTTACAAATGTTTAATGCAAGCTAATAGAAGTATAATAAAAATATAAAAATTGTTGCTCTGGTTGTTAGAAGGGGCATTGGCCTCGTGGCTTCCGAAGGAACTCGGCTTTCACCATGAAGCGTCATAATTCGTCTAAATGAAGACCTTTTAGCTCCCAGGGCATAGTTTAAATGGTTTGAATTATTTTTTCTGGTTAGCGTTTTTTAGCGAGTTAGTTTTCTACGGGATAGGGTCGCTAACCCCACGCCCAACCCTCCTTCTTTACCCGGGCTTGGGACCGGCAGTAACTCTAGAAGAGCTACAGGCGGAGTGTTACGTAAAACCCCCATGCTTGATGATTACCTAATTATGTAATTTGTACAACTTACTATAAACAATATCAAAGACTCACTTTCATGGTTGAAATATATTTTGAATCATCTATACTTCATTTTGTCCTAGTATTAGACTCCTCAATAGTGCGCAACTACGATCCTGCTCAATAGTTTATCATCTTACTTATTACGTGCACGATGAAAATGATGAATGGATAAATTCTACAAGGTAATATTTAATAATAAACTATCTTGCTTTTATGTTTGTGTTGTGTAATCTGAATTTCTGTAAGGTTACCTAATTCAGCTATAACAAGCAATGTAGTAAGATCATCACTTAACTCTTTGGTACTTAAAGCCATCATCCAGAAAATACAGGTGTTTATTAAAAGTTGTCTACGCAAAATATTTCGGATCCATTGGCCGGACACTGTTAGCAGCAACGTACTGTGGGAGAGAACAAACAAGATCCCAGCGGAGGAAGAAATTAGGAAGAAGCGCTGGACACACACTGAGGAAAGCACCCAACTGTGTCACAAGACAAGCCCTCACTTGGAATCCTCAGGCCCAAAGGAGGAGAGTGAGACCAGCGAACACATTACGCCGGGAAATAGAAATAGACACGAGAAAAATGAACAAGAATTGGATGGAACTACAAAAGAAGGCCCAGGACAGAGTGCGTTGGAGAATGCTGGTCGGCGGCCTATGCTCCATTAGGAGTAACAGGCGTAAGTAAGTAAGTAATTAACTTAAAGTTATCTATTATCGGATTGTTTAGATCTTTCGGATTGATTATATTTTTAGTATGCATAGCTACGTGAGACTTCATTTTGTTTAATTTATATGCATGCTAAATATATTCAACATTTCATTTATGAAGACCTTATTTTGTTAGTGTTATGTTAGCAGGGATAGATACACTTTTTCTTCTGTATACTGATTGCTAAATATTTACTCTATTGAGTTCGTAGAATATATCTTATTGTGATAATCAGACGCATTCCAAGTGAGGATCGGAGTGAGACAAGGCTGCTTACTCTCTCCCTTTCTCTTCCTTCTGATGATTAACTGGATTATAAAAACTTCAACATTTGAGAGGAAACATGGAATACAATGGATAGCTCGAAATCATTTAGAATGTCTGGACTTCGGAGATGACATGGCTCTTATATACCATGCACATAAAAAAATGCAGGTCAAGACAAACAGTGTAGCAACAGTCTATGAACCAGTAGTCCTCAAAATATACAACGGAAAAAGTGAGATCCAAAAATACAACACGTAGAACACTAAGCAATCACACCTGATCGAGAAACTTTGAAAGAGGTGGAAATATTCACGTATCTAGATAGCATCATCGATGAACAAGGAGGATCTTATGCAGACGTAAAGGTAAGGAATGGCAAAGCAAGGGCCATATTCCTACAAGTGAACAACATATGGAACTCAGAACAACTTTCAACCAATATCAAAATCAGAATCTTTAATACAAACGTCAAGACAGTTCTACTTTGTAGAGCTGGAACTTGGAGAACTACTACAGACATCAACAAAATAGTACAAGTATTTACAAACAACTATCTACACAAGATGCTGAATGTTCATCGACCGGATAACATCAGTAACAGCCTAGTGTACGACAGAACGAACCAGTTTCCATATGAAGAGAAACTTATGAAAAGCCTCTGAAAATGCACAGGACATAAATTAAGGTAATTATTAAAATGCATGACAAATGAAACCCTAACTTACAATCATGAAAGGAAACGAAAAAGAGGAAGACCAAAGAACACATTGCTTTGTGAATTGGAAGCAACTATGAAAATAATGAATAACAACTAGAAAGATGGAAAGACTAATTTATGGACGACCTTTGAACGAATCTTAAGCGACCTTCAGAAATATTAGCCAATCAGCAAACAGTCAGTATAGAGTAAAAAGATGTTATAAAAAACGAAGGAAGTAAAGTGGATACACTTCTTATACGTGGTTCAAAAACTTATCAAGGTGAGAAAGACGTTCAAAGGTTCTAAAATCGTAATGCATGCAGTAGAAGAAATCATCCATACGGCTACAGAACAGTCGGCCTCTGGAGCCATGATAAAGTCTCAAAAACTCTTTCAGACTCGACCACATAGTTTCAATGTTGTTTATGTGCACTCCGATTGTTGAGTGCACAAAATGCTACTTGTGGATAACGACACGATGCACATAATCAAGCCTATGTAGGAGTCTGTACGCTCTCCAAACATCGTATATATTGTAGTACCTGGTTGCAGCCAGTGTTACTGGTGCATTTATTATCCAGTTCGCAATAATTGTCATAATTTGCCTTAATTAGGAATTATATATGGGGTTTTCATCACGAACTGACATCAGCTATAATGTCAGAAATTTATTCAGCCAAATGGATGAAAGGCTTTTGCGTTAAAATCCGAGATCTATTATCTTATACCTGATTGATTCGTCCATAAATTATAGTCTCACCGTTTTATTTGTTATAGCCACTCAATTATCATGTTTTGTACAAAATTCTCTGTGAACCGATTGTACGTTAGCATTAAGCACTAAAGTTGGCACCGTCACCTTGAAATCTCTAAAACGCTTCCAATTGGTTCATCCATACATTAGAATCTCACTGAAAAGTTTATCTAAGATAAAGTTGAATAGAGAATACTTATAAGAATGGACTTATTCTCCTCCATGAAGGATTATGTAAATAAGATAATCAAATTTATACTCTAACTTCTTTTTATTCTTAAAATATTCTCATTCGTTTAAATAAACAATACAATGATAATACAATTAATGTGCTATAGGGAAAATGATTGTGCATAAAACACACTTTTATATTATGTTAAACCAATCAGTATTATATGTTAAACATTTTCTTATTTGTATTTGTATTGTAAATAGTTAGCCTTGAACCAATCCCATGTCTTTAACTTATAATGCTTGTGTGCTTTAAGTCTTTCAATTACATTTGTTTACTATTATCATTATTATGATTATGATTATGATTACTATAATGTATATCTTTCATCTATCTATTCTATGTATGTACATTAGATGATATGAATATATATATATACAAAAGATATAAAAGGGTACTTCCTTCAAATCATGTATATAATAGTAATAAGACATAGATACATGCATACACTACACACCTAGTAACATACAACATGATACTTCTTATGTATAACAACTATGATATAATACAAATACATTGAAAACAAGGTCATCATTGAATAAACTACAATCATATTTGCACTACCCTTGACTTATAACATTAGATTTGTCATTATTACTATTATTATTATTATTATTATCATATATAGATGTGCAAACAATGTTGATTAGTTGATGGGACTAATTCAATTGAAATAACCAATTATGTATTTCTAATCTAAATGATACATGAAATATTTAATCATTACGTCATAGATACCGGATAAAATTTTCTTATATAATAAATAAATATTATTATTAATGAAATGAACATTTTCATAAATTAATGTATATTAGTTTCTATCGGCTCATTATTATATTATGACAATGGATTTTTCTACATGTCAATGAATATATACTACTTAATTCAAATTCTACTCATTATTATTATTATTTCAGTAATATATTGAATTTCATTATTAATCAATGAAACAATTATAATGATTTATTCATTATTATTATTATTATATATTGTATTATTCATGATAAATATTATTCAATGTTTCAATCAATTCAATCATATTCAACAATAAATCAATATAGAAATCAATTGCATTTACTATCATTATTACTATTAGTAGTATTATTATTATTATTATTATTATTATCATTAACAAATGTAAATCAATGGAAAATTATATTACATAATCAATTGCATTTATTATATAATGATATTACAAATGTAATTTATCAATTATATTTTTATATTATTCGAAAACATTTATCGATTTATGATCAATTATCAATTAATCAATATATTGATAAATCACTATGGTTATTATTAAGTAAGAATAAGCTAAGATGCATTCCTAAACAATTCATTCAATTATTTAATGTGTTACTAATATTAATCAATGATATCAATGATAAATTACAACATTTATTCTTTATATCTTATATGAAATTTAATATTCTTATTCATTATATCTATCATAGATATATAATAGTTACCATAGCAACACATATCCATGTATTAAATCGATTAAAATACTTTTTTCATTTTATAAATCAATATTGGAAATGTATTATTCAATATGATTATAAAAAACTATTCAAACATTATTCTATTCATCCTCATAATTCATATCTATTAATTATTAGTAAATGTTATATATTATTATTAATCATGAATACAGTATTATGTATATCAACCAAATATACTAAACATAAAAATATGACATTATACCCAGTAACAATGAATAATATCATCACCACCATCACCACCACAACAACACCAACAACAACAACTAATGAATTGATTGAATCAAATCATTTATATACTAATCCAATACAATCTATTTATCATTTTAAACCACCTGATTATAAACGTCCATGTAGATATCGTTTTAATGATGATGTTGAAACGAGTACATTATTAGCTGATTATGTTATTATTGGTTGGCCAATACAAATATATCGTCGTCAATTTGGTCCATTATATAATATTAGTTTATTAGTACAAAATATATTAAAAACAGTTAAATATAGTAGATTTCCTATACGTATTAATCATTTATTAAGAATAGGACAATTTAGTATATTTCCAGATCCTGGACGATGTTGGATTAATGTTCATAAAAATAAAAAATATATATTTTTTTTAAATCAACCAGATTGGTCTGGATTTTCAAAAATTACACAATTACCTGTTGAATATACAAATTATGCATATAATTCTATTATAAGAATTATGAAACTTGGTGGTAAGTACATATGATTTTTTTTTGTTTTATTATTATATTGATTAGAAGAAGAAGTTTTTGTTGATATGATAAGTAATTTCAATAGTTAAGATCATGAATCAATTGAAGCTAGACCATCATGGAGAACCTGGAAGTATTGGACGGTTGTTTCGTCCTATTGTGGGACTAGTAGGTCTTGGGTTCGAATCTCGCGTGGGGCGAGGTCATGGATGCGCACTGTTACTGAGGAGTCCCACAATAGGACGAAACGGCCATCCAGTTCTTCCAGATTTTCCATGGTGGTTTAGCTTCAACTGATTCATGATCTTAACCATTGAAATTATTATTATATTTATTTAATAAATTCATGAATGGATTAAAGTTAGACCATTGTAGATAATCTAGAAGTACTATAAGATCATAGATACAAATTGTTGAAAAGTCTCATATAAGGATGAAACAAGACATCTAGTACTTTCAGGTTTTCTACAATGGTAAGTAAATATTTATTTAATATTAAATTTCAATGGTTAAGATCATGAGTCACTTGAAGCTAGACCAGCATGGAAATCCTGGAAGTACTATGAGACTATAGATGTAAATTGTTGAAGAGTCTCATATTAGGATCAAACAGCTGTTCAGTTCTTCCAAGTTTTCTATTATGCTCTAGTTCTAATCTACCATTAAATGATTAAAATTCCCACAAAAACATTGATGATACACAATATGAGTACACAATACAAAGTAAGTACTTTGGGGGGGATAAAAGAAAAAAGTTGATCTATCCAACGTTTATTTATACAAAGAATCCCCATCTTTTTAATAATTGAAAATCTACATCATAAATCAAATGATAAGTCGTTATCAAACCAATTAGATATTTAATCTTTATCCAAATCACTCATTCGATCATGATCATAGTGTACTAATATGATAATAATCAAAAGTTTATCAGGTTCATCATTTATGATAAGGTTAACATTAAGTATTCTATTGATGATTGTTATAATGTGCTTTATAGAAGCTATAAATAGAGATAATTTTTCATTTATTATATATTATTACTTATTAGTAGTAACGTGTTCATGAATACGTTTTTAATAAAGTATCAATGAATTCTTATTGAAAATGCAAATATGTATTAAGTTAAATGATGAGATTAGAAGTTATGAACGACCATTGAGTGACGTTAAAGTGACTTTGAAAATGTTCACCTACTGACTAGGGCTAATTGAGGGTTATAAACCTGTATAAAGGATAATGATTGTGATTTATAATTAAGTGTAAGAATCAGATATAGTGTTTTCATCATCAACTAACATAATCTATAATGTCAAGATGCTAGTTAGCCAAATGGATGAGTGAATTTCGCGCTGAAATCCAAGACCTATGATCGTGAATTTAATTGGCTCGTTCATAAATTATAGTCTCGTCAGTTAGCTTCAATTGACTCATGATTTCAATTAGTGAAATTTCTAAAAACTCCACAAAACCCCTTCTGATAATCATCATCTCATTAGTGACTGAATTCAAGAGATACTTCTGGAGTTCTAGTAAGAAGTCGTTACCAGTGGAGTTCAACCAAGTCTGTTGTGAAATACCAACTCACTGAAGACAATACTGTACAGTGGAGCAACTTCGTGGATTGTTTGAAGTTAGACATTAACATCATTAGATGCCGGGCGGCTCAGTGGTCTAGTTGGTTAAGCACCTGGCGCAAGACCGATAGCTCCTGGGTTCGAATTTCGTGGGGCGCGGGATCGTGGATGCGCACTGCTGAAGAGTCCCATACTAGTACGAAACGGCCATCCAGTGCTTCCAGGTTTTCCATGGTGGTTTAGCTTCAATGGACTCATGATTTCAATCAATGAAATTTCTAAAGTCTCCACAAAACCCCTTCTCAAAATAAAATCACAAAGTTTTAAAACATAAAAATGTAATTTTATACAGTAGTATACAATTCAAATCAGAAAATAGAAATATCAAAAACAAGATGCCTAAAAGTGAAGGATTCATATAAAATCATAAATCGCATATATTATCGATTCATCAATTTATGAAATAACAATTCCCTATTAATTTTTTTCAATATAAAATCCATGAGTATCTCAGATCATATCATGATCCATTAAGTACAATGATTTTTAAATTCACTTGATATTCTTTGTTTGAATCTTCCTATTAATGTTTAGGACTATAAGTGATTAGTGTCTTATTGGCATATATACATACTGTGCGTAATTGGGTTCGACTCCCAGAGTGAATATCCATTCTAAGATGCAGGTATATCCAGCTGATTAGTACCAAGTAGGAAGAAACGCGAGTCAAACTAGATCTCACTATTGGCCACTATCCATCTTTGCATACAATACAATGACTTTTTCTGAATATCGACGTTTTCATATAATATATATCCTAACTTTTCATATGCTATCAAATGAACAAATGGGTTAATCAGATACAATTTTATTGAAGTTCATAAACAGTATTTCATTCATTATATTCCTACTTAAATTCAATGCGTTGTAGCTTCAAAGACATGGTATTGATTTGTTAAACACTCAACTTTAACTAGTAATTTCAATAGTTGAGATCATGAGTTCATTGAAGCTAGGCAACCATGGAAAAACCTCTTTGTAGTCATTTAAGCATGTGTTCAGGCACATGTACATCAAAAAAGAAAACATAGAAGTATTTAGTTGACAATTTGTAATGGCATACATTAGACATATAGTTTCAACTATGTGATAAAGACATTATACTTAACTGGGGAATGTGAACAACCTTAATTTATCAGTTAGTGAGCGTTAATTATAAGTTTTTCAAGAGTTATATTTTTAAGATTTTTGATTAAGATCATGAAGCGATTGATGTTAGACCACCATGGGGAACGTATAAGCACTGGACAGCCGTTTCGTCCTATTATTGGACTCCTCAGCAGTGAGCATCCACGATCCCTCTGGCGGGATTCGAATTCAAGGCCTTCAGTCTCGCGTACGAATGCTTAACCCCTAGAACACTGAACCGGTTGAGATCTAACAGTGTTAATGTCCTACCTCAAGCAATCTATAAAATTGAGCGACATATCCACCATTTTCATCTGTAAGTTACTATCTCACAACAGACACGGCTGAACAATGGTCACAGTTTCTCACTAAAACTCCAGGATATACCTCTTGAAGCCAGTCATTAGTGAATATATCTTAATTAGTATCAGAACAGGTTTTATTATGTGGATATTATAGTATTTTCAGTCGTTGAAACCCCAAGTTATTTAAAGCTAGACCACCATCAAAAACTTGGAAGCACTGAATGACCGTTTCCTCCTCCTATTACAGGACTCTTTATCAGTGCGCATCAACGATCTCACCCCTAAAGATTCGAACTCAGAACCTATCTTATTTGTTCATGTAATGCTAGACTATATTAGATGTTGATATTTGTCTCTACATAGATATATTATTTTCATTTTTATTATATACCTATATTTATTCAAAGGATACATCATAGTGTATTATAATCCATTGTTACATAATAAATAAAATTTCATTTCTTTTTAGTAGCTATAAATAATGGTTTTTATCTAGGTGACTGACGAATTTTGTTGTTGTTGGTGTTGTTGATGTTTTCAATGTCCTATCTTCTCTCTTTATGCCTTTAAGTCATATATATACATATACATAACCGGAACAAAATAACCTATGGTTCTGTATAGAAATAGATTCTTCCAATTCAAACATAAATCAGTAGTTGTATATTGCGTATTAGTCAATTATGAGGTAACTATTATGATTATTGTTTGTAGTATCTATGTTTAATAGTAACATTACTAGTAGTCATCATAGTATTAGTATTCAATTCTATTCATTGACTATCAATATTAAGATAGATGATATACAAAAGTGAAAGTATGACAAGTAAATTAGTTTATTTAACTTTTTTTTGTTTTTTAAATATGGTTCTCTTCTTTTCTTTCTTTTTTTCCTTTTCTTTTCAAAAGTTTTCACTCGTATTTATCAGGAGAGAAAAAAATTTTTTCTTTTCTTTTTTTTCATTTTTTTTCAAATGATATTCTTTTTTCAAATTATGATTTGACTACCCCCCCCCCCAAAAAAAGTATATATCACTTTGATAGTTACTATGTGTATAGGTATCTATTTGGTTGTATGTCTGTATGTCTCTATGTATGTATGTCTGTAGGTTTGGACTAATTGATAAAACAGAAAAAGAAAAACAAAAAAAATACAAAGGTAACGTCATTTTAAAATGAAAATAAATGATCTTGTTGATTGTTTTAAACAAGAACAACAACAAACAAACAAAAAGTGTAGGACAATAATCAATATTCATTATTCTATGACCTAACACTTTTTTTTGCTGTTGTTGACAAGATTTAATTGTATGAATAATTGAAAAGAAAAAAAGTATAGAATTGGTTGGATATAAGTAGGCTATCTGTTGATTTATAAGCAAAGATGGATAGTGATTAGCAGTGGAATACAGTTTGATGTGCGTTTTTTTATTCTTATTTGGGACTAGTCAGCTGAGATTTGAACCTAGTATCGTTAGCTTCAAACGTCATCGTGTTATCCACTTAGCTACTGAGTCTTGATAGTCAATTGCTTGGGCAATCAAGTGAAGTTTAAATACAATTGTTATTGTTCACTTGAATGTTCTCATTCATGTTCAGCACTGCAATTGATCAGTGTGTTATTGGCATATGTGAATATTGTGCATAGTATGAATGGTGTGAGTATTGCTTCGATATCACATTAATTCACAAGCATTGTGAACAAACATGGATAGTGTTTGGCAGTGGAATGCATGATGCCAGTGACCTCCTATTTGGTACTGGTCAGCTGCACGTACCTGGACCTTACAGTTGATGTTCACTGTCTGGTACTCCAACCCAGTACTGTTCGCTTCAAACGCCATCGCGTTATCCACTCAGCTACTGAGTGCTCACAGCCACTTGCTTGTGCAATCGTATGAAGTTGAAATTCACTTGAATCTTCCCATTGATGTTCTAGGGATA